AAGCAGGTGGCCAGTAAGAGGCAGGTCTCACAAATGGGGTTCGAATGGGGTGCCATCCAGATCACCTGGGAAGGAATCGGGTGCATGTAGTGGGATCATCTCATCCTCCTCACCCACAACATGCAATGATATGGATGCCTAGCCCTTGAGCAAGCCACCTTAGTGACAATATTTTAATAACAGGTCTGGTCTGGAGATCCTAGTGAGAGTGACACAGAACCAATCTCCAAGCCAACGTCTGAACCCCTGCACCAGATTCTGCTAACAGTGCTGCTAGCTACTACAGCAAGAAAGCAAATAAGCATTTGTCCTTAACAGCTTCACCACCCTCCTCCCGCTTGGGTATGACTGAGGAGCAGTAGGTCCAGACTTCTATCATGGATGGATTTTGCACAGACTCACAGCAGGAATCCAACTGCCTGGATACTGAGTTAGAATATAGGATGCCAAATAAGTAACCTGTTAATTAATATTTTCAATAAATAACCTGTGTAGGAGGATCATGTAATTGGCCATAACATTTACGGTTACATTTTCATCTTATTCCCAAAGAAATAACCATATATTGTGAGTACTAAGCACTGCAGATACAATTACAGATGAGTGGCCACCAAATATACAATTCATTGTTCATCTAGAAATGAACAAAATCAGCAAATAACATCTTCATTGCCTACATTTTCTGTGCAAATAATTGTCCAGAATTGCACCCATAATTATTTGCAATCACTCACCCTAGAATGGAGCCTTCCCTTTACGTGTTTACAGCGTGTGGAGCTCATGACCCCCAGTCGGAACACAGTCAAAGGGCAGGGAGCGATATCCCAGCAAAGCTGAAAAGTCAAGCCCCTAACAGCTGATGAAGTTCAGCTGAGACAGACATGAGGTAGTTACTGCTTAGGGTTTTGCCCAATATGCCAGAGGAAGACTTCACTCAAACTGTGTTCACAAGCCACTCTGAATTAGGAGGATTGTTTTCTGTAGCTCCAATAGGTTTGGAGTCAGGCCTACGAACAACGTACCATTTCCAGGAGTGAGCTTGCAATAAGCACTTGCTCTTAGACCCCCCAGTTACAAGTTTTTTCCCACTAATGAGTATCAGCTCCCTTTGCAATGTGCACATCTGCTTCCCACAATGCATACAGAAAGTAACTCTGAATAATAAATTATTTCCAAGCTATTTGCCTCTCAGCAAGTCATACAGACATACGTCAGATCTTCTGCATTTTCATACATGTGTAAATTCAGACCACAATTTTTTCTGTTTGCACACCCATAATGTTAGTCCAGAAAGTCACAAACATCAGATGTCTGAAAACTGCATTTTAAATATGAGACATGTTTATTAAGTGTTTTCATTTCAGATGCAAGTTACAAATGGGTTTGTGTTGCAGTCATTTCAGCGGGTTTTTTTGTAATGCAGCTTTCAGCATAAGCTGTGTAATGCAAAAAATACTCAGAATATTCACCCATCATATCAATAGTGTAGAAGTTGCTCAACACCACACTGAATGTGCCTCTCTGTATAAATACTGCAATATAACTGAGCTCCGTATGAAATGTGTATGATCCAAAACTGCCAAGCTCTCAGAAAAATCTATTTTCCTTTTCAGTTTCTCTGATTCACAGTCACCCTGTTTGCAAAGCTGTATGACAAATTTGTGACTATGATGCACAAGGAAAATTATGCAATTGCTTATGTATAAATGACAACTTGGGACATCAGGTAACTACAACTGAATAGAAAGTTGACAAGACACCTCTGTGATTTCCTGGGAAATCTTTTGTACAGAATCATAGTCTGCTTTTAACTCCTGAAACCCAAATACTGAACAACATTGCAAACAAAAGCCCTGGAGACACCAGGAAATTCATAATACTTGAAGTGAAAAATGTTCTGCATCCAGAGATTCAGTTCCACGTTAAACTAGTGTGACTAGCATATTGCTGAGGCAAAAATGTGAAGTCTTCCTGCCTTTTTTGTGGGTGCATTCCCACTGATCTCTGGGGCAAGGACTGAAATGTAGCCATAGGAACACATTGGAGAGGTCAGCCTTGGCTGCTGCTTGACAAGTCTGGGAGGTCAATAAGACTTTTACATAAAAAAAGCCTACAGAACACCATGTCTTAAAGCAGATGTATATCATTTGAAAGAAGGGATAAAATAAATACATTTTTTAAGTACAGAAGACCTTGTTCTTTGGTCCCAATTTTTCTAGTCTTTCTCATGCAGAGCGACTTTCCAGAGGATTTCTTGAGAAGCAAAATACTATCCTCCATGACTAAGGAACAAGTCTTTCACTCACCTAGTAGTTATGGAGTTATTTGCAAACTATGGACAGGTAATCTTTGAATGTTGCTGATGCTTAAATGTGTAGATGATACTTGTTGGAAACAGCAGAATTACCTATCACTCACACAAAATCATGTTGTTAATGTGATTCAGAGCAAATTCTATCTGCTCCTGTTGTGAAATTGGAAAGCCTAAGATAAACACGCACACTTGATTCCCTGCTGCTCTACTGCTGCAGGCACCTCTGATGTTGGTAATATAGACATAAAACTGGAATATTACAGAACGGTCACTTCTCTTCTCTGGGGGAAATTTGATGTCTACCTCCTGAAGATCCAGCTTTTGTAATCAGCTTTGCCCAAAGGAGATGAAGAGAATAGCATTTACCCTGAAGTACAAAGACAGAACCTATTTCACCGTGGTCTTTCTGGCATATAAATTATGACTAAAGTTTCCCCATTTTTGTACAACCATTCCAGATACCCCTTTGCTAGGTTCACACAAATGAACCGATGTTCTCTCCTGTCCACAGCTAAGTTATTTACACCCAAAACAGTACACATTGCAGGAGACCATGCAGAGATTCAGGGACATCAGAGTCTTTGCTGTCACCCCAGACTCACTGCACTTCAGCTGATGGACAGCTAGTAAGTCAGTGCTATGTACATCAAGAATTTGGTTCATAAACTTCACTTTGCATTGGCTGGAACAAATATTTTGGCAAAAAGAATGTGGCAAAAATGCAGAAAAGTCACATTGTCCTATCCTTATTTTAAATTATTTTTTTCTGGATACATTCTAAATTAGTAAGGAATTTGTGACAAAAAAAGCAATTAATGCATGTTGGAATGAATTCTCTGGAAAGGAAGTCTGAATACCACATGAATAGACTGATCTATACATTAGAACTTTTCAAAGCCAAATTATGTTCACACATATTATTACAGAGAAGAAGCTGGGGAGAATCTCCTCTGTGTCTTCTTTTAGTGAGCAGGGTTCTGAATATGGCTTGTCTGCCCTTTTAAACTCTCTGGACAATGTATTTTGATAAACGAATTCCATTTTATTAATAGAAATTTGCTCCATTTTAAAATAGCAAGTATGTTTAAATTACATTTATCAGATGATCTTTCAGGTTGAACAAAACATTAAGGTAAGATTGGTATTGACAATAGAACACTGATATATTATGAAAGTTAAATCATATATATTGAAAGATTAAAAAAAAAAAAAAGGTAAAAAATAGTTTCCAACACCAGCATTAAAAATAACCCGATTTACATAACATTGTTCCTCAACGCATCTGTTGAGGTAAATGAGATCTAGCAGAGGCAACGGTTTAGAGCCTATGAGCAAGATCCTGTGAATATTTCAGCAGGATCGTGTGCAGAAGGCCCAGACAATGAAGTCTCAGTACAGCCGTTCTTACAGAACAGTGACAAGCTATTTCCATTATTTTTAGTAAGACTACTAGCACTTCTTTTCATCTTTAAAGAAAATTGTACAACAAGGAGTATTAACTCTAAATCTAACTCTAATCCTATCTTTAACCATACAGTCACCACTATACTACAGTGTGCCTTATTTGTGATATGATATGAAATTAACAGAATAATAATGGGATAATAAAAAACTGTAATACAAAACAAACAGGACAGTATTAAGGGTGGTGTATTGTTTATATGTCATAAAACGGCTGTTCGCTTTTGGGGTCTACAATATTTCTCACTCTGCCTAATTTACCTCTTTGCAGGCATTCCCGCAGTTTGCGATCCACATCTTGAACGTGAAAGAGTATGATTCAGCTACTCTCAGCACCAAATACGAGCTACAAAAGTCTCCTTGACATGGAATCTAAAACCAGACACAGAACTCGGAAAATATATCCAAAACCTCAGTCTTTGAATGGGCAAAAAGCTAAGCAGGGATCGTGGGTTTTCCTCAACTTGATTATAAGCACTACAACTGAGTGGCCGGAAGGCAATGTGTCTGAAAGACCTCTGATACGTTTTGAGATGTTTCCATCGCACGGAAATAACGTTTTCAAAACCTGTGCTTTCCCAACGAGTAACAGTTGAGTCTTTTACAGCTTTTCTCCTGCCATGGGATTTGATTAGCAAATACAAAGGTTTAGACAGAGATTTATTAAGTAACAGTTATATTGTGTTGTAATTAAAACGTAGGAAATTCGCCGTCTACTTAAGCGTTTAAAAATGCTTAATGTAGGAAGCAATTACACCTCATTTTCAAATTATTCCCCTGCCTACAGAGTACGCTGAGGACAGAGCAACACGCGGCTTTAAGGGCGGCGGCTACTGCGGGACGTGCCCGCTGGCCCGGCCGAGGCGGGGGCAGAGTCCCGGCAGGCGGCGCGGGGGTCGGTGGCGGCGGTTCTCGAGCGCCTGCTGTGCGGGGGCAGCCCGGGGCGGCCGGGACGGGAGAGCTGACACCCCGCCAGCCCTCCGCCCGCCGGGAGCCTCTGGCCGGGATAAAGGCCGGCTGGGTGCTGCCGGGCGCCGCGGCCGCCGGGCCGAGGAAGGGAGCGGAGAGAGGAGCGGAGGAGAGAGCCAGGCTCTTTCCCGACGTCGCCTGTCTTTGCAAATCAAAACCGAGGGAATTCCGGCACCGGCTCCAAACTGAGGGCGGTAGCCCGAGGCCGAGCTCAGGGGCCCTGTGCATCACCGCCCGTCCCTCCCTCTCTCTTTACCTGGCTGTACTTGGCCTCCTGCTCAAGGGAGCTCTTCTCCAACCCGTTCACGGAGTGCTGGGCCGGCGGGTGGAAGCTGTTTCGGCCCAGGCTGCTCCATTCCTCCACCTTGGGGCTGGGGTAAGGCGAAGTGTCGCTCACTGCTGGAAAACAAGGCGAGGGAGAAGAGGGAGTTAGATGCAAAGGCCGGGATGGGGAGATGGAGATGGCTTTGCCTCGGGATGGAGACAGTTCCCTCTCCCCAAGGGACGCAGTCTGCGGGGCAGAGCTAATGAGAAGCCGGTCCCTTGCCCGCCACACCTCTCTGAGTCTCCTGGGAGCCTCTGGAGAGAGTGATCCGTGAGCAGAAAGAAGTCGGGTCCCTCTGTGGCAGCGATCACCAGTCGAGCCCAGAGCCGGCTGGGTCCCTCATTCCCGCGTTCCTGCACTGGCAGGACGGAGCTGCCTCCAGACACTTGTCCCCCGGGATCTCCTTAGAAGGATTTACGGCTTTCGCCTAGTGGGTATTTGTATGCGAGTCAGAGGACAAACGATACTCCTGTTAGAAAAAGTCCTGAGACGGGTACAGATAAGCTGGGCTCAAAACAAATTTGGGGAGGGAAAAAAAAGCAACTAAAAAAAAAAAAAAAAAAAAAAAAAAAAAAAAA